AACTAGCTAAGCGCCCGCGGTGCAGGCGGTGCGGTAAAAAAAAAAAAAAAAAAAAAAAAAGTGAGGTCAAAACCAATTGCAAATTTTGAGCACAGTTAACGAATTCAAGAAATGGAAAATGGATAGAGACACAGAGAAAGGGAGAGAGGGAGGGAGAAAGGAGGGAGAGAAAGATGGAGAGATACAGTTACAGAGAGACAGAGGAGTAAGAAAAGAAGAATGCAAAAAAAAAAAAGAACAATCGAATAGTTGAAAATATTATTCTTTCGTCTTCAAAAAAAAAAAAAATTGCATGTGAATTTTTTTCCCCCCTAATATATAGTGAGGAATATATGTTTTTCTTTTTTTTTCAAGTTGCGGCCGCACCCCCGCCCCCCAACTCGGACTTGGATCCACCTCATGCTTCACCACACACGACACCCGCACTCCGGCAGCTAAGAAGTGCACAGGAATTTTATTTTTTTGGTAACGAGTAGTCGAGAATATTATTCTTTTTTTTTTTAAAACAGGGTAGGCAGGGGACTTATCGTTGCACTTGGATCCATATGTTGCTTCACCACACACAGAACGCGCACAGGGTAGGCAGGGTATAGGTGCTTCGAGTGCCTCGGTCGGTATGTGCGTGCAAACATTTATGCTTAGAGTGGCAAGGTCGGTAGGTGCTCGCAGTGGCTCGGTCGGTAGGTGCTTGGAGTGCCTCGGTCGGTAGGTGGAGTGCCTCGGTCAATTGGTGCGTGCAGACATTTATACTTACAGTGCCTCGGTTGGTGGGTGCTCGGAGTGGCTCGGTCGGTGGGTGCTTCGAGTGCCTCAATCAGTAGATGCTTGCAGTGGCTCGGTCCGTAGGTGCTTGGAGTAGCTCGGTCGGTAGGTGAATGTTTTATAACAGGGTAGGCGGGGGGCTTCTTGTTGCACTTGGATCCATATGTTGCTTCACCACACACAGAACGCGCACCGGGCCGCTAAGAAGTGCATGTGAATTTGTTTTTTTTTTCAATATATACTGACGAATATATGTTTTTCTTTTTTTTTTCAAGTTGAGGGAGGGGGATTTGTTTTTTTTTTCAAGTTGAGGGAATATATGAATTTCTTTTTTTTCAATAACAGGGTAGGCAGGGGGCTTCTCGTTGCACTTGGATCCATATGTTGCTTCATCACACACAAAACGCGCACAGGGTAGGCAAGGTATAGGTGATTGGAGTGCATTGGTTGGTATGTGCGTGCAAACATTTATGCTTAGAGTGGCTAGGTCGGTAGGTGCTTGCAGTCGGTATAGGTGCTTGCAGTGGCTCGGTTGGTAGGTGTTTGGAGTTCCTCGGTCGGTAGGTGCTTGGAGTGCCTCAGTCGATAGGTGCGTGCAGACATTTATGCTTACAGTGCCTCGGTTGGTGGGTGATTGGAGTGGCTCGGTCGGTGGGTTCTTGGAGTGCCTCGATCAGTAGATGCTTGCAGTGGCTCGGTCCGTAGGTGCTTCGAGTAGCTCGGTCGGTAGGTGAATTTTTTTTAACATGGTAGGCGGGGGGCTTCTCGTTGCACTTGGATCCATATGTTGCTTCACCATACACAGAACGCGCACCGGGCCGCTAAGAAGTGCATGTGAATTTTTTTTTTTTTAATATATATTGAGGAAATATGTTTTTTTTTTTTTTAAAGTTGCGGGGGGGGGGGGGCTCCCACACCCCCCCCCCCCAACTCGGACTTGGATCCACTTCATGCTTCACCACACACGAAACCCACACTTTGCCAGCTAAGAAGTGCGCATGAATTTTATTTTTTTGGTAGCGAATAGTCGAGAATATTCTTCTTTTTTTGTTTTCTTTAATAGGGTACAGGGGGGGCTTCTCGTTGCACTTGGATCCATATCTTGTTTCACCACACATAAAACCCGCACTGGGTCGCTAAGAAGTGCACGTGAATGCTTCTGTTTTTTTCAATATATACAAAGGAATATATGTTTTTTTTTTTTTTCAAATTGCAGGGCGGGGGGGGGGCTCCGCACCCCCCCCTCGTTCTTGGATCCACTTCATGCTTCAGTACACATGACACCCGCACTCCGGCAGCTAAGAAGTGCATATGAATTTTATTTTTTTGGTAACGAATAGTCGAGAATATTATTCTTTTTTTTTTAACAGGGTAGGCGGGGGGCTTCTCGTTGCACTTGGATCCATATGTTGCTTCACCACACATAGAACGCACACAGGGTAGGCAGGGTATAGGTGCTTTGAGTGCCTCGGTCGGTATTTGAGTGCAAACATTTATGCTTAGAGTGGCTAGGTCGGTAGGTGCTTGCAGTCGGTATAGGTGCTTGCAGTGGCTTGGTCGGTAGGTGTTTGGAGTGCCTCGGTCGATAGGTGCTTGGACTGCGTTGGTCGATTGGTGCGTGCAGACATTTATGCTTACAGTGCCTCGGTTGGTGGGTGCTTGGAGTGGCTCGGTCGGTGGGTGCTTGGAGTGCCTCGATCAGTATATGCTTGCAGTGGTTCGGTCCGTAGGTGCTTGGAGTAGCTCGGTCGGTAGGTGAATTTTTTTTAAGAGGGTAGGCGGGGGGCTTATCGGCCTTGGAAACGCTGTATGTCGTGTTTTCACTCGGTTTCCTACCTAGAAACCACCGCAGGAGGAAAAGTCGTCACAATTTTGTGCAGGGTAGGGAGGGCAAGGGTAGGGTAGCCTTCAACCTTTCCGAGGTCGCGGACGAACTGTGGACCGCCCTGCAAGGGGAGGATACATTCGTAATTCGTAGGTCAACGAAAAGTGTGAAGGCATCAGGCGTAGTCGACGGACTACATTCATTCGGCCTGTGAATTACGAATGTAGCCGGACCAAAGGCAACACTAGACGCATTACGAAATTAATGTGTGTGTGTGTTTGAGAGAGAGAGAGAGAGAGAGAGAGAGAGAGAGAGAGAGAGAGAGAGAGAGAGAGAGAGA